AAAATATTAAATAATTAAATTATAAAATTAAAAAATAATAAATTGAGATCTTTTATGAAGGAAAAAAAAAAAAATTCTTTTTTTTGTAAAGTTTATTCTATTGAATCTCCTTCTTGAGATTCAAAATTCACTCGAGCCTTTTTCAATATGTGATGCGTTTTGTGTAATTGTTTACAAATGGCTCTTTCAACTTGTTTTTTCCGTTGATTAGCAGCCGACAACTGAGTTAATGTTTCTTCCAATGCTTGCCTCGTTCTCAATAACCTCCTCCTTAATTCCGCATTTTCATTTTCCAATTTTTTCATTTCGACAGGCTCGAAATTTTCTGTAAATATTTAAGAAAAAAAAATAAATTTTCTCCCCACCACTCATTTAAATTTTTTCAAAATAAAATAAATAAAAAAAAATTAAAAAAAAAAAAACTACCGGCGAAATTTCCAGGCCTTTCACCGATGGGAATTTGATTTGTTTCCAAACTGGAAAATCTACCGGGATCACTTTCGATTCCTAAATCGGGAGATGAATTCATGTTTCTTCGAGGGGGTGCCGCAAACGATTCAAACGACAAAATTCCCAACGAATGATTTCCGGGATCGCTTGCCGTCGAACCTTGTCTGAAATAAGGTTTGTTTTCATCCGATTCCGAAGGCACGAAAAATTCAAAATTTGGAAAATAATTCGATAGAGATGATCCCTGACGAGTCGGGGAAAACGTTGGAGATTTGGACGTGAATTCGTGTTCCATGGTAATCGTTTCCTTTCCGCGAATCGCCGATATTCTCGTTACCAAATCGATATTTGTCGATTCGATATCTTCTAATCTCGATGCCAATTGTGATTTATTCAAACTCAATTGGGTCAACTGTAACAAAAAAAAGGAAATGATTAATTTCCCTCTCTCTCTCTCTCTCTTTTTGTAAGAGAAAATGTTTTGAAGGAAAATTTTTAACCTTGTTTTCTAATAAGTGAATGGAATTTTCATATTTTCCTTTTATTTCTTTATTATCTTTCACGAGATTCGTTTCTCTATCCATCATCTTTTTAAGCTCTTCTTCTAATTGTATTTTTTCATTTGTCAATTTCGTCAATTCCAATTCAAATTCCGATGCTTCCAATTTAATTTCGTCAATTTGTCTTAATAATTCCGATGTTTCTTTTTTCTTTTCACCTTCCAATTCAATTATTTTTTGCTTTAATAAAGTCTCTTGTTTCTAAAAACATACAAACAAACATAATTTATTATCGAATTAAATTCAATTTCGAAAAAACAACAACAACAACAACAACAACAACCTTTGCGTCATCCTGAATTTTTCTTATTGCAACATCCGCGGATTCTTTTGCTCTCGTTATTTTTTTCTCAGCATCTTCCAATTGCCTCCTAAAACCCGTTTCGATTTCTCTTCCTATTTTTTCCGCTTCGATTATTTTCTTTTCCAATTCCATTTTTCTCGTCCATTCTTTTTCTTCCATTTTCATTTCCAATTCTAATATTTTCGAATCTGCTTTCTTTTGTATTTCTTTTATTTTTTTCTGAGCATCTTCGTTGCATTGATCCATGGCGACTTCCAATTCCTTCAATTTTTCCTCCATGCAGTGAATCGTTTGTTTTCCTTCATCGACTTTCGCCTCGACTTCGACTTTATTCTTTTCCGCTTCCATGAGTTTTTTCTTCAATTTAAAAACCTGCTTTTCGATTTCTTCTTTTTCCCTTTCCGATTTTTTTATTCTCCTCTCCGCCTCTTTCATTTTCTCTTCGACTTCTTTTCTCATAAGATCTATGAAATTTTGAAAATCTTTCGATTTTCTTTCCGCTTCATTTTTAATTTTTTCTGCTTCCTCCATCATTTTTTCCGCCGTGTCCACGTGCATTTCCGCTTCTTTGAAATGAATCGTCGTTTCCTTTTTCATTTTATCCGCTCCGCATAACCTTTTTTCAAGGTCGTTTACTTTCGATTCAACATCTTTGCTCATGTTTTCCACATCTTTTAATTTACATTCGACTTCGAATGTTTTCCTTTCGGCTGCTTCCCTTTGTTTCCCGGCTTCGATCAATTTCAATTCACTTTCTATCGTTATTTCTTCGATTTTGTTTTCCAATTTTATTATTTCCGATTTTTTCTCTTCTAATTCGGCATTTTTAGCACCGAGTTCTTCTTTTAACATATTTATTTGTTCCTCTAATATTGTTATATTTTCCGTTGCTTTCGCAAGTTGAACTGCAGATACGGAAGCTCTTTCCAAAGCCGCAGATAATTGTTCTTCCATTTGTCGACAAGTAAGACTACATTCTTCTAATCTATCCATAGTTTTTTTAAGCTTTTCTGCTAAATTGGCATCATCATTCTAAATTAAACAAAAAAAAAAAAAATCAAATAAAATCAATTTTTTAACATTTTTTACAAAAAGGTACTTTCATCATCAACCGACCTTTTGTATTTTCGATATAAATTCCAAATTTTTTTGATCGTTTTTCAATACATTGATTTGTAATCTCAAATGACTGTTTATTTCATCTAAACTTTTTACTTTTGACTGCAATCGACGAATTTCAGTTTCCGAATTTTTAGATCTTTTACCTACAAAAACAACAAAAAATTTATTGGTCAAAATACTTTCACGTGTTTCAAATGTTGTCACACTGAGGATAATAAACAATAGAAAGGGGTACCTGAACTTCGTAAATTTTCATTTAAAGTTTCTTCCGATGATGAATCACTCGAATAATCACATTTAGAATTTTTCTGCGAAAGACTCAACAATCCAGCATCATCGAGCCTTCCCATTCTGGCCAAGGAAACCGATCTATCAGGTTCGGACCACGCTTCCGATTCAGACGTTTCGCGATTGTCTCTAAAGAAATTTTCATTTTCATTCGCGAGGAAGGATAATTTTTTAATTGGTTTTTCAAAGGATTCGTCTTTTTTTTCCGAGTCCTGATCCGATTGATCGTTTAAATCATCGCTTATATCTTGGCAAATGCTCAAAGTTTGTTTTTCTATTTGATCTTGATCGCTCGCGTCTAAATTATCATTGTCGAATTCTTTTTCTTCGATTCTCTGACAATGTGATAATTCTATGTCTCTTTGTCTTATTTCCTGATTCAAAAGTTTTAATTGTTCTCTCAGACGATTAATTATTATTGTTTGTTCCGATATGACTTTGTCTTTTGCCATTATATTACTCGAACAATCCAATTGCGTTAGGGAGTCGCAGCAGAGTGACGACAAATCGCAAAAACTGCTTTCCACGCCTGTTGTTGTTCCGTCATCTTTTTTTTTCGTTTTGACAAAAGATTGAGAAAGATGCTTTGACAAATCTCTACTTTTCTCCATGGCTTCTTTCAAGTCGGAAAATTTTTTATAACCGACTTCGGTCAATAATTCACCGTTTTTGAGAAGGCTATCTAAAAACGTGGCCAGTTCTTCCAACCTTAGGGAAAGCATGTAACAGATTTTAGCCGTCGTCTCATTTTCCGAATTATTTGTATTCTTTTTAAATTTGGAACTCTTATCTCGATTAGAATGACCGGCTTTATAGTCTCCTATTTGATTTTCGTTAGAATTACCATAAGTTTCTTCTTCGTTGTTCATGCTCCAAATACTTATTTCTTTAACACCTTCACTTATTCCACTAATTAAACTTTCAGTTTTTGAAACTCCTAAAAATAATTTACAGTCTAAAAGACCGGGAGAATCCGGAGTAGCGTGCCCCATTTCTTGTAATTTGCTTTGTAAAATATTCAACTGATCGTCTTTTTGTCTTAATTCGTGCTGAAGCATGACAACAGCATCTTTCATTTCGTTGAATTCAATCAAACGTTTTTCAACCTCTTCAATTTTATAATTATTTTCAATTATTTCTTTTCTCACGAAACCTGGTAAATTTTTATTTTTAATTTCACCGTTCAACATATCTATTTGTAATTTTTTTTCTTCTAGTTTTTTTTTTATATTTTCTTTTGTTTCCGAATCAACCGTTATTTTTTCTTCCATTTGTTGTTTTAACACGACCATTTCGGCTTCCAATTCTAAAACTTTTTCAACTTTTTTATCGATTCCGCATACGACGCAACGATGATCAACGTCATTCGTTCCCTTCGATTTGATCATGGCGTTCTGCAACAGTAAAAAAAAAAAAAAAAAAGGGATAAAATTAATTTAGAAAAATAATAAAAAATAAAGTTATTAAATTCAATAGACTTACTTCTTCTACAATATTATTTTCTGACTCATTATTATTTTCCGACTCGTATAAAATAATACAATTGGATTTATTATCGTTATCACCATTATCCGGAAGTGACAACTAACAACAAAATATTAAATAAATTCAGTTCAATTTATTGCAGAAAGGACTTTTATACAAATTCCGCTTCCTTTTCCTTTCCTCCTCTCAACTTTTATATATATATATATTTTTTTTTAATTAAATAAATAAAAATAGTTTAATAATAATGATAATAAGGGAAAAAAAATTTTTTTTTTTTTTTTAAAGCCCCTTGTTAACAACTTAAATCCTTTCTGCAAGGTAGTCTAGTCATCAATTCTAACTTTTTTTTTGTGTGTGTTTAGGATGAATAATTAAAAAAAAAAAAAATTTTTTTTTTTTTTTTTTTTTTTAATAAATTTTTTTTTTTAATGACACCTCAACGGGGAAAAAACAAAAGCTAAGTGTGATGTAGATATATTGAAGAAGTAGACCGATATCCAAAGCGCAAGAATATGTATCATCTTCAAAATAAATCTGCGGGGATCGATACCATCAGCTTATAGATGGATTTTTTCTTTTTTCTTTCTTCCGACCACTACTCTAAAAAGGACCAAATAATAAATTTCTTATAATGTTGGAGAGGAAGACGGAAGTGAAGTGGAAATAAAATTTTTTTTAAACAAAATATCACCATTTTGTTATTAATAATTCTACGGCCTAAAAAAAAATTACTTTTTTTCTTTTTTTTTTAAATTCCATTAAAAAGAAATATTATGAAATTACTTCACATTTTTTAGAGTGAACAGACGTTGTTAATTAATTAACTTAAATAAATAAATAAAATAACTAACCGGTTGTATATGACACTTTTTCAATTGTCCTTAACATATATGCCGTGTAAATTTTTATTAAATTAAATTAAAAGCGTTTATCAATCAATATTAGAGCATGCAAAACAACAACAACAACAAAACTATTTAAAAATTTTATAAAAAAAAAAAAATTTATTCATCAAAACTACCAAAAAAAAAAAATAAATAAATAAATAAATAAATAATAATGATAAATTTTTTATATTTTCCTTATTCTTCCTTTTAAATCTAATTTTCTCAAATTATTCATTTAATTTTTTGAAACCTAATGAGCTTTGTATAAAAAAAAAAAAAGAAGCTTTTATTCATTCAAAAATAAATCTTAATAATACGTGAAAAAAAGCTCAAGCAAGCGCGAAAAAAAAAAAAAAAGCTTAATCACATGCAAACTAATTTTAAAGCTAAAACAAATTCGAGTATTTTGCATAAGATAAAAGCGAACCATTCGCATGCACAAAATTAATTTAAAATTTATAATAATTTTTATTAGATGGTACCTTATCATCCTGTAAAGTTGGCGGCATTGTTTGTTTACGATATTGATTAAGCTCCGCTTTTAATTCGGCGATCATTTCCTCCCGACTGTTGAGCATTTGATTCAAAGCCTCTCTTTCTTTTTTTTCGTCGCTCGATCTTTTCATGAAATTTTTCAACGCGACGCAAGCTTTTCGATGATCGTCTTCCAATTTCTTTTGTTTTTCCAAAACTTCCTGATACTCTTCGAGTTCCAAATTATTCTGTTGTATTTTTTCCTCCAGACTCTTCATTCGTTCACCGTATTCCATTTCTTTTTCTTCCATCGTTTTCTGAAGTTCTTCGTATTTTTGTTTCAATTGTTCGTCGTCCGATTGACGCATTTTCGACCGCGGGGATAACGCTTCCGTCGTTCTTCGCAAACGCGACTGAAGAATTTCCAACTGAAAAATTACATATTAAATTAATCGATGGAAATTTCGCGTTCGTTAACAAAAAAAAAAAAAAAATTTCTTTTCTATAATCACTCACTTCTTCTTTGAGCCTGGAATTTTGAAAATTTAAACTGTCAAATTTAGACTGCATGGATTGATTGACGGATTTTTCTTTTGATATTTTATTTTCCAACGTTTCTATCGTTTCGTAGCGGGATGCGAGTGAATTTTTCAAAGACTCGATGGTTCTATTCTTTTCTTCCAATCTTTCTTTATTTATGTCGTCGTCCCTTAATCTCGTTTTAAGGTCATCTTCCAATTTTCTTATCCTATAATTTGCAGATGCCAAATCGTGTTCTTTTTGTTCCAATTCATCGACGAGCTCTTCAATTTTATGCATTCTTTGTTCCAATTCGCTTTCCATTCTTTGCGATTTCAATTCGTACGATTCGAGTTCCAATTGATTATCTTTTAACATGTGTTCTAATTCTAAATAACGTTCTTTTTCACTGTTCAAACACGTTTCTAAATTTGAAATCTAAAAAAAAAAAAAAAAAAAAGGAAATAAATGAGAGAGAGAGAGAGAGAGACTCGAACGAAGCACTTTTCCAACAAATAAATAAAAAATAAAAAATTTATCTTTACCTGTTTCTCATATTGTTCAACGTTTTTGAATCCGGGATCTTGACTGTTTTCACCGAATATACCGGGATATTTGATTTTGAGTTCATTGAGCGTCGTTTCTAATTTCGAACATTTTTCTTCCAATCCAGAAATTTCTTTACATTTTTCTTTCATCAATTTTTCAATTTCTTCCGCGTGTTCTTTTTGTAACAATTCAAAAGCTTTTGACGCTTCGAATAAAAGCTCTTGTTTTTTTTCCAATTCTTTTAACTGGGATTCACAGGTAACCTACACCAAATTTTTAATTTCGAAATATTAAAAAAAAATATGAAAACAAACGAAAATTATTAAACCAACCTGATGCTGATACAATATAAAAAATTTACCTTTAATTGTATATTTTTCTGTATAAGATCCTCTTTATCGCTTATTTCGGAAACTTTACTCAACCTCTCTTCAACGAAATAAACTCTTAATTTTAAATTGAAATTTTCCGCCGTGAGTTTTTTCAACTGTTCTTCGTACTCTTTCATGGTAAGACCGCTCGATGCGGAATTTCTCATTCTTGCTTCCGCTGCACCAAAACAAACAACAAAATATAAAAAACCGTTAAATTTAATTTGTTCGCGGTGCGTTAACAAACCCTCTCGTTTCAAAACTAAATATATATATATATATATTTATTAAAGGTTACTACGTAATACGTACGTTCGCCAAAATCGATTTGGGATTCGGATCCGCTTTCAGGATGGGAATCATAATTGATCCCATCGGGAAAATCGAGTTTAGTTACGTCACTCGAACTATCGCAACTTTCATCAATCTCCGCGTTTTCGGATGCTGATAAATCCATATTATAAAAACATAGGAGGTTCTCTCACGTATGACGACAACAACAACAACAACCAAAACTTTGTCTTCTCCAGATTGATTAAAAGAATATATTTACACTGACAAACATGATGGTTCCACTTTTTTTTTTTTTTTTTGGGGGGGGGGAATTAATTTTAAGATGTGATATTAGATTTTTTTTTTTTATAAAAATGAATTTTAAACACAAAATTTCAAAAAAAAAAAAAAATTAGGTAAGAAATCGAGCGGAAAGAACACACCTCACAACACACACACAGACACAGACAAAGGCTGGTCCCCCCTTTGATTTTTTTTTTTGATGATTTAAGAAAGTTTTCGATTTTGGAAAACCGACGGCGGGGGGGACACCACCACCACCACCACTACCACTACCACCACCACAACACAGTTTATATATATATATACGTTTAATATTTTCCTTTTTTTTTTTTCGTTTTTTTTTTTATTTTGTTTTGTTTTGAACGAAATTAATTTTTCAATTGGAATTTACGAAATTAATATAAAAAAGTATAATCCACATTAATGGTTCATATTTTCTTTTTGTTTTTCTTTTTGTTTTGAATGAAAGAAAAAAGCAAAAAAAAAAAAAAATAATAATAATAATAATAATAATACAAAAAAATAAAAAAGAAATAAATCACATAGTAATAATAATAATAATAATAATAATAATAATAATAATAATGTGTTTTTTTTTTTTTTTT